AACGCCCTAATTCAAAGCATTGAAATCCACCTAATTAAACAGGCACACAAAACAAACACAACCCAATTGCCCTATAAGCAAAGCACCAAAAACCATACCCCCATGGGTTCAATGCATAAGCAAAACCATGAGAACCCGGATCAAGAATCCAATCAAATAACCAAATTAAACAAGTAAAACAAAAGGTGGTAGGCATGATAACATGGGATCTGAAAAGGAACAAACCTTTACAGACAGCCGCAGAGCTTGTGAAGGATTTCAAAAAAAATCAAAAAAAAAAAAACAGCAATAAGAAGAGAGAAAACCCACCGGCAAAAAAAATCTTTTTTCTCTTTATTACTAATAAAAATCGGGATATAAATATATATTTTTTGTGAGGTGCCTGTAGCAAATGAATTGTCCGTCTTCTTCGCTTTAAGGGAAAAAAAAAAAGATTTTTGCTAATTTAAGACAAGACAGTAGAACATCCAACACCACAGTACAACAACAGTGCAGCCCAAGATCTGTTTTCCAGGGGAGAAAAGGGAATTTCTAAGTTGAAAATATCTCATAATAAATCTGATTTATTCTCTATTACTGTTCTTAATTGTGTAGTTCGAGGAAGTTTCGTGCCGTTGATTAATAAAGGCTTTTCTCCTTACAATAAAAAATAAATAAAATATCTAGATAGGAATATATCTTCAAAAAAAATATTTTAAATTATATATTAAATAATATTTTTATTTAATATTAAAATAAAAATACGTGGAATTAATCTGACGTGTAAAAGTTGTTTCATTAACTAAATGTTGAAGAATTAAAATAGTAAAAAATAATATAATTAAAAAGAAAAAATTAAATAAATTTATGCCAATCAAGTAAATTTATGATACAAATTATACACATTATTGAATTTAATAATATTTTTATACTTGAAATTATTTTTTAAAATAATATATTAGATGCATGTGACTAAGATATTACAAGCATATTATTAATAATAATAAAATAAAGTAATATTTATGTTAATTTGAGTTAAATAAAAAATAAATTATTAATATCAAATAACAAATAATAAAATTATATTTTTTTAAATTGAGAAAAAAAAAAGCAAATGATAACTCGAGTATTAGAAATAAATTAATTTCACTTGCAATTCAGTTTATAAATTTAATTTAATTCAATAATTTTTTTATTATTTGTTTTAATTCAATTATAAAATAATAATTTTTTAAAAAAAAAAAAAGAGGCGATGAACATTGGCTAAAAAAACCAGCTTGCGTTCCTCCTGCATGTAGCTTTTTAAAAATAAACTTAAAAAAATGAGTTACAAGTTGTCCGTTATATATATATATAACAGACTCTTTGCCTTGTGCAGAATCTAACCACTCGGTCACTAAAAAAATAAGATTTTAATTTTTTTATTTAAAAAATTATTTAATTCAAAATACATAAAAAAAACATTTTAAATATCTTAATAAATATATTCATAACTTCAAAAAATAAAAATCATTCTGAATCTAGAAGGAAAAAAAAATTATCTAAACTCTTTTTATTAAATAAAATTTATTAATATTAATTTTAATTATTTTAATAGCAATAATTATTATCAACATTTATTTTCTCTTTCTTTGCTAAAAACCCGTGAATTTATTTCTTTTTTTTAATAAAAAAAATTAAAAAAATCAATGAAATAAATTTTGATAGTAAAATTAAATTTTAGAAAAATCAATGAAATAAATTTTGATAACAAAATTAAATTTTAAAAAAATAAAAGGATTGATGACCTTTAAACCAAAAAACAAAAAACAAAAGATTAAAATAATTTATTTTGTATAAAATTTGAAGACGTCACCTTATTTACCTACTTTTTTATTTTAATCTTCTATCTTTTTATTTAATATAAAAACATGTAAATAAGTGTTAATTTAATTTTAATAGTGCACAGTTGTGTAAAAACAAAAAAATTAAAAGTTTCTTTATTCAAATATAATTACGTTGGATGTCTGTCGATATTATAATTGTAAAATCATGCTATAATCGATAAGTTAATTGGTGACTCGCTAACTTAAATTCTATCCATGACGGTTTGATACCCAACTGGCTTTTCATCAAATCAATATTTATTTTTTAAAAAAAATCTAAAACAATATTGTTTTTATATATAAAAAATTTATAAAGTTATATTTAGTTAGTGATATGATGAAATAATATTTTATATTCAAATTCATTTTCTTGTAAGGTCTATAAGAATTATGATCGAAGAGGTCGAGAAAGAGAAAACTCATTATAGAAACTTAAGAAAAATCAAAACTCATAAGAAAAAGATTTAAAAAGATACTAAACTTAATTTTCTTGAACTTGATTATATTATATGTTAAACTCAAGTGGTCGTGAAACCTCTGTCACCAACCCTCATCACCTGAAATGAAAGATTAACATGAATATATAATTATTTATTATTCAAATATTTAAAAACTCAAGTTTTCTTATGTACTAGATTTCAGAGCATCTTCATGTTTTATAGCATGAAAAAAAACATATAAAAAAAATGAAATATATTTCATTAGAAAGATAAAAATAGAAATATAAAATAAATATATCTGGTAATAGTATCTCTAGTGAATCATGATAGATTTGAATAGAATTTTAATCATGGTGAATGAATGAATAAAGTTTTCATTTTCTACCGAGTTATAAAGGCAAAACTAATTTCATCTCCGCATAATATTCTATATTATAATCTGATTACAAATCTAGGAATATAAAATATAAAATTTAACTTGTTAATCTTGAGCTGTGATCAATTGATTTTAGAAATAATTGTCTGTATTCTATTAAAAAAACAATAATTGTATATTCTTGTGAATAAATTATACTATGTATATAGTCAATGAAAACAGAACTTCGTCCACGCTCTTCTAAATACCAAGATACGTAATTAATTTATTATTCAACAATTAAAAAATCTTATTCTATAAATATTTTTAGTTTTAACATTTTATTAATTAGAGAATAGGGAAAAAAACAGGTTGATGCTTTGCAGAGACGAAAGGAATCCTTTTGTATTAGAGGAAAAGACAGAATAACAATGATTGTGTGTATTTTAAAAAATTTAAATATTTTATTAAAAATTAATATATTTTTATATATTTTGAATCATTTTTAGCATATTAATTTTAAAAAAATATAAAAAATATTATTTTAATATAAAAAATAACTGCAATTCTATTCCTGTCTTTTATTTAAAGGTATAATTGGTATTTTTTAATAAATATAATCATTTAAAAATATAAACCACACCTTATATAAACAAAAAATATATATATATATGTTTTTTATATAAATTTTATTAAAAAAAACCAACCTCACTTTAATCCCAAACATTCTCTTATTAGTCTACACGAAAGAATAGAATTTCAACTTGCAAAAATAAATGAAAAAAAACGATTCCTTTCACAAGGAAGAATCGGTGAGCTTCCTAACTTTTGCCTTGCAACCGAAGAACACCTAGCCTTATTGGTGAATAAGGCTACAGTGCCAACAAATGTTTTTAAAATATTTTTATTTTAAAATATATTAAAATAATATTTTAAATATTTTAAAATTCATTTCTACCATCAGCACATTAAAATATATTAAAATAATATTTTAAAATTTATTTCTACCATCAGCACATTAAAAAAATAAAAAATAAAGACAATTAGACGATACACAGTGCCCTTAGAAATCGCATGCAACAAGCTTAGTTTTAAAGATCACGGCATCTTTGAATCAAGTAATTACACTTCAAAGCTAAATTGTTTGTTGATTGAATAGTAAAGAAGTCATTCAAACCAAGACTGTTCTAATAAAAAATTATTATGAAAAATAAACTTATTTTATTTATGAATTATTGCGAGGAAGTGCATTTTTAAAATCATTTAAAGAAGATTTAGTCTTGATAAGTGATGTATAAGCTAACTTAGAATAAAAAAATACATTTCTCATTAAAATAGTGTTTGAAATTACTATTAAAATAATATTTCATTATTATTTTTAACGTAAAAAACACTAATATATATATATTTAAAATAAGGGGGTGGTTGAAACTCATCCTTCCCTCCCAGCAGTGCTATAAGAGAAGTCAAATTACTTAGTCAAGAAAATAATAATAATAATAATAAAAGTGATTATAGATGAAGTAGTTATCAAAAGTCAGTGTCTGGGGAAACGTAGTTGATCCACTGTTAATCTTGTCTTCAAATTTCCTTCGCTGAGTACCGAAAGCAAAGTCTTCATGGAAAAAAGGAATGGCTTGCAAGTTGATTAATCCTTCCACTGGCAAAGGCCCAAAGTGTTCAAATCAATGTAATATCATAAAGAATTATAAGATGAGCCCAACACCACGTCTTGGACATAGTTTCTGCGTTCCTCCACCATTTCCACAACATCATCACCGCCAATAGATACCATCTGAATCCTCTCCCTGTAACCACTGACCTCACGATCCAGACAATTATAATTTCCACTGTGGTTTGGCTCTCCTGTGGGTTTGGCTTCTTCACTTGCCAATATATATATATGTAGTTCATGCATTGAGAGTCTCCTGTGGGTTTGGCTTCTTCACTTGCCGATATATATATAGTTCATGCATTGAGAGAGCCGTGAATATAAATAAATAAATAAATATATATATATATATATATTTCATGCATTGAGACAGCCGAGAGGGGTGTTAACGTGGTACCCAGTTAGTGCTTGCGGGAGGTCACCACGCAGGTGTTTCAGTTTCAGCCTGTAATAGACGTAGCTCACTGGCTCTTTTGGACTAGACAAGCATTAGAAATTTCTTCCTTGTCCAATGGCAATGACTCTAATTTCAATGTCCTTGTTCTCCAACAGACGCAGCGATGCCAGTGATTGTATCTATCCATACATGCCATTGAAATGAGAGGGCACTAGTGCTCGTCATGTGAAGCAAAGGATGATTTTTTCATGACGTTTCATTACTTTATGTAATTACAAATTGCAAGTCAACATTGTGAGAAATAATGTTAACCAAGACAGGATTTTCAGTCGGTGAATACAGAAAACTCATGTGCTGAACTCTCTCAGTCTATAAACAGGCATGTCTCGTAATGTTAAGAGCAGCATACAGTAACGATACCTGAGAGGGAACCCAGAGGTGGAGGCAGAGCTCTCCAGAATAGAAGCGCATAAATTAATTGAACAAGGCAGATTAGTTAACCACTCAAATTTCAATCTCAATCAAAACAAAATGATGGCATTGCTTCCTTGATACAAGAATTTCAAACAAAGAATGCAGTCCCAATTTTGCCCTCATATGGTGGATCCTAAACAAGAATATTGCTGATTGAATTCTAACACCATCGAGTGCTCAATACCAATTGTTTTATGGTTCTTTCTTTCACATGCCAGTGAACAAGAAAATACAATTTGAAGTACTATATAACAAAATTGTAATGTCCTCAGTAAACCTTGAGCAATTTACAGAACTGCAAGAGTTGGTGTTTCTTTAAGCTCAAAAGGACAGTTATAAACACTTGTTTTTATTCTGAGAGAGCGATTGCATTATCTATCTAGAGGCCTGACAAGGCATTGTATGCTCAAGTGGTTCAACAGTATTTCCAGGCAATTTTGAGAAGAAGATCCTTTTAATTAAAAATTTTGCAAATCTAAAGATGAGGCACAAACTCCAAATTTCTCTCCTTGTTCGTTCTCATTCAGAAAGAAATTTCAAGTCATGTCCTCCTCATTTCTTCATTGTTCTATCCATTATATTATGTAAACTCCACTGCCAAATTTGATAGAGCAACTCTAAACCAACACTTTGCACTATGCAATCATCAAGTAAATTACAAGTCCACTGTTAAATTACCTGCACTGCCGATGTATTTTCAAAAAAGTTGTGAATTACTGGCTTCAGATCAAATATATCATCCGGAATCCATGTATCACCCATCTTTGGAAAAGTGTTAAATGCACCCCCCCCCCGCATTGCACAGCAAAAGCATGTTAAAAAAGTTGTTTCTAAGAATGCATCAGAGCATTTGTTTATAATTGTACACTAAGGGCTGCAGAACATATTCTTGAGAAGGAAGAGGAATGAGAAAAGAATTAAAATAGACCACATACAGCATCATTTCCGGCAACAAATGCTCCTGAGATGGCAGTAATCCCAACAATAAGGCTTACAGGAAGGGCAAGCTTCTTGACTTTTGCCGCCCCACGAACCCAAGCTAAAGATTCAGTAGGAGGTTCAGGCATTACAACAGAAAGAGCAGTCCAGAAAAGTCCACTATAGATAACAAATGCCAAAGTAAGGTGAGCTGCAAAACGTTAAGGGCTTACTCTTGGCTGAGCATATTCAGATGCTGGCTCCTAGGTAAAACAAAGCCACTCATCAGTGTCTCAATCCTGCACAAATTCGCTCTCAATTAATACAAAAGTAGAGTTCTTTATTACCTCTAAACCACTCTTAACCATCCACCAAACAATTAAACCTTGCCCAGCACCAAGGGCAAAAGAACCGCAAAGTTTAGCTCCAAGTCTCACTGTTATATACCATTTTCTCAGAAAATACGAAAATGGCAATGCCAACATGATCCCCAATCCCCTTTCCCGCATGCGGTGCGCATATCCCATCCAATAAATAAACTTGAAATCATCAACACTCATCCCTTTATTTACAATGCAAAGTATCAAAAAAAAAAACAACTCAAAATTCACTCAAATGAACCAACTCTAACTAAAAATAACAACTTTCATTCCTTTCTAGTACTTACATTTCATACTCAGGTGGCTGCTTATACTTCTCAAACTCAATCAACCAGTCTTCATCTGATAAAGGAGGAAGGCCGCCAGTAAATTCCAATCAGTCATTGAAAGACCAGACCTTGTTAACCTTGTAGCACCACCAGGAATCACCATACTAAAAACTCAAGCAGCAGAGCCAAATAGCCATATACCCACCAATTTACGAGCTTTAGGTCCTCCCTGCACACGCAACCTAAGACCCTCTTTACTTTTACTCCCAACAGAAGCAGCTACAGTTGACATCTTCATCATTGATGATGGCACAGACTGATAGTTATAACCCTGAAAACAGCATAAAGAATCAAAGTACATGAGATAAAAAGTGGGATTTTGTTAGATTTTAGATCATTTGAGAAAAACCAGATGAAAAGGAAATGGAAATGAAGGATAATTTTACCCTGGGGAGTGATTTAAAGCCATAAAGGAAGGATCTTGATGATGGGTTTTGTTGTTGATGAATGTCCCTCGAGTGATTGAAAGGTGTTGTTTTTGTTCCTTTGAGATTAGTAATTGAGTTGTTGATGATAGATCATCCTCCTCCTCCTCTGTTTCTCTTCAAGATTGATGCAAACATTCTGCTTTGAAACATCTTTCACTCTCTGTCTCGTTTGTGTGCGAGTGGCTGATGTGAGGGTTTTAGCTTAGGAACTGAGGTTTTTCTTTCTGGGATATATATTCACAAATGACACCGGGTTTTTTATGGTTCACATCTTAAAAAAAAATAAAAAACATATATATTTATCTATACTTATTTATTTACTGAAAAATAATTTTTTAAAAAATAAATATTTTTTTAATATTTACTAGTATAATAAAAAATAAGTTAAAAATATTTTTCAATATCTAGCTATATCATAAAAAATAAAATGAAAAATAACTTATTAATTTTTTATTTTTTTTAATTTATTAAAAAAACTTATTAATGTTTTATTTTTTTTAATTTATTAAAAAAACGAGGAATAAATCTTATAAATTAAAAAGTTAAATAAAAAAAAATATAATTTTATAAATTATCTCAAATAAAATAAATAATAATCAAAATAATAAAGATCAAATCTAAAAAAAAAGATGAAGAAATTAAAATAATAATAATTAACATTTCATGAATTATTTCAAATAAAATAGTAATAATCAAAAGAATAAAGATCAAATTTAATAAATAAAAAAATTGATACGAGAAAAGTAAATAATAATTATAAAAATGAGGCCTAAAGTTAATATAAAAATTAAATTTTAAGAGATAAAATTGAAAAATAAATATTCAAAACAAAATATATATAGCAATTAAAAGTTTGAGGATCGAATTTGATACAATCAGCAAATAATATGATATTTCTAAATTTTTCACAACTTCCGGAAAGTATTTTTCATCCAAATGTTTTAGGAAAATATTTTTCTGGAAATCAAGCTAAATTTTTCTTTAACTAAAAAATGTTTTTTGTTTATCAAATTTTTCTTTGACTGAAAAGTATTTTCTGTTTATCAAATTTTTTAATGACAAATAAATATAAAAAAATTTAAAAAATAATTTTTTAAAAAATAAATTACAAGAAATAAACATATCCTTCATATCATGTACTTAGGAGAACAAATTTATATAAAAGATAATCTGTTGACCATAGAATCTAAAATAAAAAATATTGAGATGTCAATGTTTAATAATGTTTAAAAGTTTGAGTTCCGAGGCAAACGTTAATAGCATTCATAAATACAAAGATATGTAATCTGGATAGCACATGAATGCTTTGCTTTCTTAATCCAGGTCTTAAGCAGATTATCCAAATTCTCCATGTAAATTGTCAAGGACAAGTTTGCATGACAGTGGTGGGAAATGATGACCTTTTATCTGATTTATTCCCAAGCTATCAGCAAAGATATATATACAAAGGCAATTTGCCTTTCAATGCGTTGTACAGATCTAGAGAAGCCCTTTATGCAGGAGCTATGAAGAAAAGATGGGCTCGCAACAATTTCCTCCCTCTAATGCTACAAATACAGATCTTCTATAGTCTCTATACTTCTACTGTTATGTCCCAAAGATACAACTCTTCCTCTGGAACTCTTAAATCAATGGTGACCAAGCAAGTTCCTCTGGAGCATATTCTCTTGGATTGGGAGATGAATAATGTTTGTCTCATGGAGATCGGTTGTCAAGAAAAAAAAAAGTGTAGCAGCAACCGATCTTCACCACGAATCTTGCAAAGTTCTTTTCAAACAAAAGCTACAAAGCAACAGAATTTTATCAAATAAACTTGCTCATGACTTATTATAATGAAAGGAAATTCTCATCCGTCCTGTAGTGGTTGGCTACTTTCAAGGATTGATGAAGGTAGATTTCGCAGATATGATCTTCTCAATCCCATATCCCAAGCCAACATTTCAGTAACTTCCGTATTATCCCGAATTCGCTAAATCTTACTTCTTTATGAGAGATTACTAATACGCAGTGTGCTTCCGGGACATGATGAGATAGGAAATTGTTAGTCCTGATAGTACTAAACACATTAAGACTAGAGTTTAGGTGCAACTTCTGTACAAAAACATGGGAGAAAGAGGGAAGCTTAGTTGATCAAGCACTGTTCTTGGCACAGTATGATTCAAGATGTGTTTCCGTTCATGATCCAGCATCATGCAAAATTTTTCCATGATGAAAAGGCTGTCTTTCTTCTTTTTGTGTGCCAAGGCAGGCTCCCCTTATTTGTAACTAAAGAATACTTCTTGTTCTTTTGTATTTTAGCAGTATGATCACTTCATTAATATTTCCTTTTCCTTGAGGAGCTTAGCATATTATGCAATACACTTAGGGACTGAGTGATTCTGTGAACTGAAACAGTAGAATGGGAGAGCTATTTTTAGCTCAAAAAGTTGCAAGGATAGTAGAAAAAGAGAGAGGTTGTCTTTTTACCAAAATATATTTGGTATTAAAAGAATAATTACACAGAAATTAATAACTTTTAGTTTTTGCTGAGGCTGTAAATCCTGAAATGCAAACATCTGACGCTGAGACTAACAAATCCTAACATTAAACCAAACCGTCACGCCATGTGGAGCACCTAGCATAGTTATAGATCCTAATAAGACCCAAGGTTTATTGATCCAGCATCAAGACCTTATTTTCTTGGATTTTGTGTCTGAACCTAGATATTACAATAAAATTTAGTGCTTTTAAATCCCACATCACATGTCAGAACCCAAGCTTATAGGAGCTTGGGTTTCTTAATAAAATTATTTCCCTCATAAGTATTACTATTTTTATTATAATTAAAAATATTAATATCAAACATATTATAATTTATATTTTAAATATTATTAGTTCAATTTTAATAAAAATAATAATATTTTTTATATTAATACTTTAAATTATACTAAAAATAATAATATTTATACCGTATATAATACTATTTATAATATTAATATTTTCAATTATAATAAAAATAAAAATATTTTTACCTCAAATAATAATATTTATACCACAAATAATACTATTTTTAATATTAATACTATTAATTATAATAAAAATAAAAATACTTGCACCACAAATAATAATATTTATATCACAAATAATATTATTTTTTATATAAATACTATTTTTATTATAGTTGAATGTACATATTATAAAAGTATTAATATTAAAAACATATTATTTGTAGTAAACATATTATTATTTTTATTATATTAATATTAAAAATAGTATTATTTGTGTTTTAAATATTATTATTTTTATAATAATTAATATTATTAATAAAATAATTAATATTTAAGAATACTTCTTGTTCTTTTGTATTTTAGAGTATGATCACTTCATTAATACTTCATTAATATTTCCTTTTCCTTGAGGAGCTTAGCATATTATGCAATACACTTAGGGACTGAGTGATTCTGTGAACTGAAACAGTAGAATGAGAGAGCTATTTTTAGCTCAAAAAGTTGCAAGGATAGTAGAAAAGGAGAGAGGTTGTTTTTTTACTAAAATATATTTGGTGTTAAAAAAATAGTTAGAAAGATGATTAGGCTGTAAATCCTGGAATGCAAACACCTGACGCTGAGATTAACAAGCCCTAGCATTGAACCAAACCCTCGCGCCACGTGGAGCACCTAGCATTGGGGTTGACTTATTTATATATTGAGTCAAACCTATAAGCATAGTTATAAACCCTAATAAGACCCGAGACTTATTCATCTAGCATTAGAATCTAATTTTCTTGAATCTTGTGTCTGAACCTGGATATTACAATAGGACCTAGTGTTTTTAGGTTTGACATCAGGTGTTAGAACCCAAGCCTATAGGAGCTTGGGTTTCTTAATAAAATTATTTTTTTTATAAATATTATTATTTTTATTATAGTTAAAAGTATTAATATCAAACATATTATAATTTATGTTTTAAATATTATTAGTTTAATTTTAATAAAAATAATAATATTTATACCTCAAATAATAGTATTTTTTATATTAATACTTTGAATTATAATAAAAATAATAATATTTATACCTCAAATAATAGTATTTTTTATATTAATACTTTGAATTATAATAAAAATAATAATATTTATACCTCAAATAATAGTATTTTTTATATTAATACTTTGAATTATAATAAAAATAATAATATTTGTACCTCAAATAATAATATTTATACCACAAATAATAATAAAAATATTTGCACAACAAATAATAATATTTATATCACAAATAATATTATTTTTTATACTAATAATATTTTTATTATAGTTGAATATATTAATATCAAACATATTATAAAAGTATTAATATGAAAAACATATTATTTGTATTATAAATATTATTATTTTTATTACAATTGAAAGTATTAATATTAAAAATAGTACCATTTGTGTTATAAATATTATTATTTTTATAATAATTAATATTATTAATAAAATAATTAATAGTTTTTAAAAAAAATATTATAAATTTTTATAATATTTTTTATAAAAATTAAAAATGAACCCACCACGAAGGGGGTACCTAACAAGCTGTTTAACTATACATTGTTGGATTAGTTTGTATATGCAGAAGATCTTCTCTATTGGGTACAAAAGTTCTTCAGTTCAGCAAGAAATATAATCTGCTGGTGATATTTAGTTTTGAAGAAAACCTGTGTTTTGGTGGTCGTATTATAAACAGCACTCAGATATTCTGAAGACCCTCTTGTGCACTGCAGCTTCGGTTTTGTTCATGCGCGCTATCTTGTATATCTTAGCCTGCCTGTGGTTTTTCCATACAAGACCTGTTCTGTTTCCTCAATTTAAGGTGGAGGTTTTGAATTCCTAGGTTGGTACCACGAAGTTGTCCTTTGATTTATTTCCGAGACAGTAACCAAACGCTAGAGTCCGAAACCATTTCTTGTCTGCATCCCTGTATTTCTCCTTTGGATTTCTAATCGTGTAAGCAAAAAGCATGGTGAAATGTAAGTGTCAAGGCCATGTTAGCTATACCAGCATGCATCAATCAAGCCAAACAGTCCAAGTTTAGGTAGTCAAAAAGACCATCATTTTCCTTCATCTGAGATGCTCGGAGACAAGAATGACCACCCTCGGAGCACTCACAGAGCTCAAAGGAGGCATCAATCAAACTCACAATCTACCATGTGAAAGCTGCAGGGGAACTTGTAGCTATGTCTTCTTAGCTCATCACATTTGGACAACTACTCCGGGGTCCAATTCCATGTGCTTCCCAGCTGCTGAATCTTAAGCTGTGGGTTTTGGTTT